TCCCTTATTAAAAAAATAGATATATATTATTAATACATAGAATTACTTTTTTGTTTCCTATTAAAGTTTAAAGATTTTTTTTTAATTTTAAAGCGCTATTTATACTTTTCGAATATCTAAGAATTTTCCAATTTAGTCTTATAATTATTAAAGCGTAAGGAATTCAAATATCGCTGATTAAAGTTCGCTGTCAGGACCGGTACAGATGCAATATCAATGTAGGTATGTTGAATAAGATAACTAAGGTACCGAACTATGTAGGTGGGAAGGAGGCATGATATGGTAGGGGATGCCTCCGCCAAGGCCCGCTAGCCATAGGGCTGAGGGGTGTGTCAAGGGTACGCTCGTAACACTACCCCCCCCCTTCGTTAAATCATGTCCCATGATTGGTGAGTGGAAAGGTAGAAAAATGGGTATGCATGCACGCTTGACGCCTGAAAAATGGTAAAAGCAGTAAAGAAATAACCGTATCCGGGAGCCCCAGCATCATACCTTTCTCCGCGAGAGGTATTGGGGACGGTAGCAGCTTTCTGTATTTGCGCTGTAGCGACGTCGCTAGCTGGGGTGTAGGCGCATGTAGGGAGCCTAGCCGGGAGGAAATCGGTGTGGTATGGCGAAAACCATGTCCATGGGCGCAGGTGTAAATAATGGTGATTTCCGAATTCGTATTTGAGCGGATGGGATGTCGGTGGAATGATGCGACGTGATTGGTTGAGGGCTTCCGAACCGAACCGAGCCGTAGGCGCTAAAAACTCTAATCCAATATCAACTGACTTTGGTGTAGTCTTCTCTGTGGTATGTCATTTAGCTGATATCGATTATGTTTCGTGACAGCGACAACGTGGTCTATGTGTGTACTGGTATGGCTTCGGAAGGTCTTCAGGGTTGTATTAGCAAGGGGGGCTTGCGCGGAAGGCTATGTATGAGGTGATTCTTGATTGATATGGGTCTGAGGGATCGATTCTCGGTTTTGGAAAAAATGAGGCTATTATGAAGACATCGGACGGTTTTAATTCGATTGAAAACGGGGTGTCCGAGGTAGTTCCGGACCGGGGACGCTGCCGCTGTTGAAGGCCCCTCGCCCTGGTTCCTTCATGGGTGAGGCTCTTCGGGATACCGCTTGTGGAAGTCGTCTATCAGGTCCTGGCAATTTTCGAATTCACCGCCGTCCGTATTGTATTAGGTGGGGTTATTGTCGAGGCCTTCCCACTTAACTTTGTACTTGAGACGGCCATAGATTAATTTGGAGCTAAGTATTTCTTTAACAACCCATTCGGTCCGGCCGTTGACAGTGATATGCTTCGGCGGAGGGTTTACCTGCCTTGGTAAGGGGTTGTTTGCCGCGAGACTTAAGAGATTGGGGTGGAAGACGTCGTGGATTCTTATGGTTGGCGGAAGTTCCAGACGGTATGAGGTTTTCACAAGGTCTGTAATCTCGAATGGACCGAGTCTCTTGTGGTCCAGTTTGCGGGAAGGGCGATTGGAGGTGATGTTCTTGCTGTTTAGGAAGACCTTATCGCCTATTTGAAAAGTAACCTTTTGTCGATGCTTATTGGCTTGTGTAACCATGGCCTTCTGAGCGCGGTCCATGTTACTCCGGATGTACTTGAGAACTTGTTTTATGTGGTTCGTGATATCCTCCGCCCGAGCAGTATCGAGACGCTTACGTGTGGTCTCGTAGTCGGTGGTGTTCGGGCTGAAAGTCATTCGAGGATGGAACCCCTTATTCGCGAGGAAAGGTGGGATATTAGTAGTCGATGAGGTAGTATTATTGTCGGCGAACTCGGTGATAGGTAGCTACCTTGCTTAGTCGTCCTGCATGTAGTTGCAGTATGTCCGAAGGTGACGCTTTATATTCTGATTCGCTCGTTCGGTCTGTCTATCGGTTTTAGGGTGGAAGGCTGTTGATAGCTTGGCTGTGATGCCCAGTCTCTCGCAAAAAGACTTTTATATGGTAGCTATGAATTGGGGTCCTCGATCCGATATTATTGAGGCCGGTAGGCCGTGTAGGCGGAACACTTTCTTGAGTAGTAAGTTGACTGTCTTCTTAGCGGTAGTGCCTTTATCGATGTCAGAATAGGCTACGTAGTGACGTTCCTTGGTGAGCCGATCGATCGCTATTTAAATAGCGTTGTAGCCGTCGGATATGGGCAAGCCTGTGACGAAGTCGACCGATATGTCTTGCTATCGTTTCTGTGGGATTGGTAGAGGCTGTAGTAAACTATGCTCCCGATTGTGAGGCGCCTTAGCCCTCTGATAGGTGTAGTAATTCTGAACGTAGGTAGTCACGGTAGTCCTTATACCTCGCTAGTAGTATTCCCTTTTGAGTAGCTTATAAGTACGTGCTACCTCGGGATGTCCGCAGGACGGTTGATCGTGCACCTCTCGAATAATATCGGTGTATATGTTATCGGATATCCATAAACGGTTTTGATGGTAAAGTACCCCGTCTTGTACGGAGTATTTACTGAGAGTGATCTCTCGAAATTTGTCCTTGTTTTCGGCGATAGCCTCACGGATTTCCGTACAATATTCGTCTTCCTTGTTGGCCCCTACTACTTTGTAGTAGATAGGGTCGTCGATTGTATGTACGTCGATATGTTCGCCGTCTAATTTCAATCGATTAGGGGTAAGGATTGTTTGATGCTGTTGGCGTAATCGTTCGTCCCCGGAATCGGTTGGTTTGTACTTAGCCATTCGTGTGAGTGCGTCGGCCTTGACGTTCTGAGGTCTAGACCGGTAAATGATCTTTATATTGAATTCTAACAACATATTCAAATACCAGGCCTGGCGTCGGCTGAGGTCCCTTCCCTCAGCAAAATACATTAGTCCTTTGTGATCGGTGAAGATCCTGATAGGGACATCCGTATATTTTAGCTCGGGGCGCTAGTGTTCTAGATAGCGAATGATTGTCAGCAGTTCCTTATCGTAGATCTGGTAATTGCATTCGGTAGGGGTTAGGTTTTTGCTGTAGAAGGCTATCGGGTGGAGTACTCCCTCATCGTCGTACTGGGAAAGAACACCTCCGTTGACGTAGTCGGAAGAGTCAGTCTCTAGGACGGCCTCCTTTGTCCTATCGAAATGACGTAGAACTGGAGCTTTAGTGACGGCGACTTTGAGGAAGTGGAAGGCCTCTTGATATGCTGGGGACTAATCAAATATGGCCTCTTTTGCCGTGAGTTTTACTATGGGTTTGACTATTTTAGAGAAGTCTCTAATGAATCGCCGGTAAAAATTGCAAAATCCGATGAAGGCCTGTACCTCTTTGAGGTTGGTAGGTGTGGTTCACTCAATAACAGCCTGGATTTTGGTAGGGTTTATTCGCAACCCGTCTATAGACACCAGTAGGTCTAGGAACTTGGTTTTCTGGACGTGGAATTCGCACTTAAGGATGTCCACCTGGAGGCCGGCGTCCCTCAATTTCTGGAGGATTTGTCTGACGTGTTGGATGTGTTCCTTTTTTGTCTTACTGTGAATGAGTATGTCATCGAGGTAGACCTGGCAGAAATCGTTCAGGTATTCGAACAGAATGTCATTCATGTATTGTTGATATGTGGCCGGGCCGTTGGTTAGACCGAAGGGGAGGACTCGATACTTGTATGCTCCAAGGGAGGTGACAAAAGTAGTGAAATCCTCGCTATCGGGATGTATACGTAGTTTGTTGAACGCGGCTATGATATCTAACCGAGTGAGGTATTTGCATCCCTGGATCCTTGCCAAAACCTCATCTATTAGTGGGATTGGGTATCGGTTCCTTTTGGTAATAGCGTTTAGTTTCCGATAGTCCACACAAAAACGCAACCCTCCATTCGGCTTTTCCGCGAACAGGACGGGTGAGGCGAATGGTGCATGGCTTGGTGTTATGAATCCCTTCTTCAGATGTTCGTCCAGGTACTTCTTTACCTGTTCCAGTTTGTGTCCTGACATTGGATAGATTCTGCTTTTTGGAAGTTTCGTTTTGTCGGAGCTGTCGTTGAATTCGAGTTTGTGGTCATAAGGACGGTGTGGGGGAAGTATGTCCGCCTTAGTCCTGTCGAAAACATCGAGGTAGTCATGGTATTCCGGAGGTAACTTACGTTTCACCTCCTCAGGACTAACCTCTTCGGTGCTATTGATCTGAATGGGGCAGTTAGAACCACAACACCTTTTGTACTTCCTTCCTGAGTTGCAAGGATAGGGTTTGTTGACCGGTACGCGAGGTCCGCGAGGTGTCCGTGTAGTGGGAGGCGTATGTGGTGCAGACGGTGTGTTATAGATCTCATTCATTGTCAATGTGAATAGTTTGTTGCCTTTTTCACGGGCTAGTTGGTAATAAGCCGCTGCATTAATCTCAGCGATGTCGATGGACTCAGGCTCCTTGCTATTCTCGTCCTTATTTGAGGAGGAGGTGTCCGAATCGGTCTCGTTGTCGTAGGTGGGTGGGGGAGGGCTTTGTCGTTTCAGTATGACAGGTGGGGGGGTGGGTGGTGTGGGTGGTCGGAGCTCTGGAGTTGGTAGGAAAGGGAGTTCGTCCATTGTTGATATCTGATTACTATCATGATTACATCGACCGGGTAGAAAGAGTATCTTATCCCGTAACATGTCAAGGACTACCCCGTGTTTGTTCATCTATGGTTTTTCAACTATCATGTCGTGTTTCAGTGGTGCAATTAGCATTGGACATGTTCCTTCTCGATGGCCCTCCACTGTTACCGTAGGGAGTAAATAGTGTGTAATTGGTCGTTTTGCGATCTGGCCGTCGTAACCCCTTAGTGGTTTAGGTCGTGATAGTGGGAGTGGTTCCAGATGTAAGGCCTCACATATCGCTGGGACTAGGGACTTATTTATGACTGTGTAAGCACCGGTGCATCCACTATCCATAAGAGAGTCCTGAAGTAAGTACTCCCTTCCTTGTGAAGATAGCGTGACTTGTGTGCGGAAAGGACGACGTGCCAGGGCGTCATTGGGGGTGTCTACCAGGCACACTTCATGAGTACCTCTTACCGTGACTTTGGAAGAGGCTATTCGTTTCCCGAATCCGAAGAAGAACCGTCGCTACCCGTGGTGTCGACGTTATCGATTTCGAATTCTTCGTCTATTTCCATCGCGTGGAGTCGTGCCTCCTCGAAGGCCTTTTTGCCGGCCTCGGTTTGGGTAGTTATTGTACAGTCCTTCCGGTAGTGGCCTTTCTTGCCGCAGTTGTAGCACATTGGTTCCCTTGGTTTCGAACCGGTCGTGACATTCAGAGGCGTAGTGGTCGTACTTGAACTGGACCCGGTGACGGGTATGAGGCGTGCATTGGCCGCGGGTGCTGTCGTCGATGTCCGTGTTGTAGTTGACTTGACAGTGGCCTTTGTGGACTCAAAATCCTTGTAATCAGCACGTTGTGAGTTATCCAGCTTCCGAAGGTATTCTTTTGCAGCCTTCAAGGTAGTAAAACCTCCTACGACCTGCTATGCCTTCTTTAGTTTCTTCCTCAGTTTCTTGGGAAGGTAGTTCTCCAGCATAAGGGTTTCGTTATAGTTAAGGATGGTGCCTAGTCGAATAAAGTCTGAATAGAAGTCGATGAAGGGTCGGGTCCCTTGCTGTAGAGCCTGCATGTCACGCAATGCATTACTACGTCGGTCTGAGTTCTCGTAGATATCGGCCAACTCTTCCATGATCTCAGTGAAAGACTGGTACGGGTTGGTGGAGTTCCGAAGTCTTCTATGCATCGTATGTTGTGCAGCCTTACCGCCGAGTCGTGAGACTACGTAGGCTATCTTGGAGTCCTCGGTAAGGTAATGATCGCTGTTGGCCTTGAATTTCTGTTCTATTCTGGAGGACTAGTCGTCTTAGGTAGGGTCGCTACCGTCGATGAATAGAGGTGGGTCTGGGACCTTAACTGATTTCTCTTTTGAACGTCTAGGCGTGCGTTCCTCCTCGATCGGTGACAGCCGTGAGTCTTTCATTGACTGTATCTCAAGGCTATTGACTTTCCGCTGTATGGAAGTCATGTCCTTCTGAAAGTCTCGGGCTAGTTGGTTTGCCTCCTCGGTTATTCTGTGGGCCTGGTACAAATCGTTCATGGCCAGGTCCTTTTCTATGACGACGGCGTGATACCGAGTAGTAACCTCGCGGAAATTGTCTCTCTCCTGACGAATTTCATTCAGCATAGTCATGAATTCGTCGGGTTAGTGCTTGGTCTAATGTTGTAGTTGTTGGGTACTAGCGATATCTTAAGGCGTATCTGCTGAGTCTGCCTCGTCAGGGGTATCCTCTGGTAGGACTGATACCCGTCGGAACTTGGTTTGCTCTAGTAGGGTCTTGATTTGATCTATTCTTTCGATGTTGGACTTCGCCATGGGAAAGAAGAAAGGAAGGTTTGAAATAAAGTGGAGAGGAGTTTAAATACTTCGAAAGAATGGGTGTTGGGGATATCAGATGTACTAGAGAACAATGAAGCCTCTCCAAGGCGTGTCGAAATTATTCGGTGTTGAGAATAAAAAATTTCACTGTGAAGCCCAAGGCAAGGTTGTTTCTTTGCGGGGGTTTAACACACTTATTTCTTGACCGTTTGAGGCGTCAAGAAGACTGTAAGTGCTTTGAACAGTGGCCTTTCGAGTGCACTTACTCCGCCCAGGGGGTCCCTTGTCTCGTAGAGAAGTTGTATGCGGGGAAGTTTCGGAGAAGAGTATCTTTAATTGGCTGTAACTCGGCCGTTTCTTGTCTGATTGGGGCCCCGTTGAAACCCCAGGCGTTGTAGTGTGTGAAGTTGCAAGTGGTGCTGCTGGTGTGTGTTTTGAATGTGGAAATGTGAGATGGTGTTGGCTATTTCTTTCGATTCGCTAGCCGTACGAATGGTCCAATGCCTTCTTTATCCCTCGACCACTGTTTGCCGAGGCCGTTTCGCTGTCCCTTTTGGGCTCTTTGAAATCGATTTACCTGTCTGGTAGGCTTACCCAGGGATACGATGGCTCAACTTGGTTTCTTGCCAAAGCCCCTGTCAGCGCGTTTCTTTGAATTCGTCCGCTAATACGAATGAAATGAGTGGGTTGACCTTAGTTATAGTGTTAGAACCGGTACAGATGCAATATCAATGTAGGTATGTTGAATAAGATAACTAAGGTACCGAACTATGTAGGTGGGAAGGAGGCATGATATGGTAGGGGATGCCTCCGCCAAGGCCCGCTAGCCATAGGGCTGAGGGGTGTGTCAAGGGTACGCTCGTAACATTATTAATCTCTTTATTTTACTAATTCTTTCTCTTATTTAACTAAAGTATATCGTTATAAATCGAATTAATAATATTCTTAATAGAGACTCTTATAATTCTTATCGAATTAATATAAAAATTCTCTTAATATATTAGCTTATAGTTAAACTTTAGTAAAGTAAACGTAAGTTAAAGAAGTATATTAAGCTTTATTTAGCGTATACTTAATTTCTTAATTTAGAGTTCGATAAGACGAAAGAAATAGACTTAAGAAATATAACGTTTTATCGTAAGTTATATCTAAGAGTTATAAGTAATAAATAATAATTTTATTTCTATCTCTTTTAACGACGATAGACTTATTATTATTAAGAAATTTTATTATAAATATAAAGATTATAACGCTATCTACTTCTTTAACTTAATTAAGATTAATTTAGATATATTCGTTTATCGCGATTATATTAATATAATATATTATCTTATATATAACTCGATTAAATTATTCTATATTATCGATCTTATTTATTAGATCTATAATAAGAATAATTAAAAGATTATTATTTTTTATAATTAACTATTTACGATATAGCTAGTAAAGATTCTTTTAATAATTTTAAAATTTAATATTATTAGTATTTATATAAAGTATAAACTTAAGAATCGAGAGACGACGATTTATTAATTTAATAATAAGGATTATCTCGTATAAGTTCTAGTTATTAAGATTAAGATTAATATTACCTCTATTAATCTATAGAAAAATAACTTAAATATAATTTTTATAGATATATCGTTAAACGTATAATTAACTTTATAGATTAATATATATATTATTTAAATTAAGTAAAAAAACGCTTATAATATCTTTATTCTTATTAATAATTATTTCTATAATTAAATTCTATAGATTACGGCGGCGTATAAAATAATTAATATTATCGTTATTTATATTAATAAGAATTTTATTAATATAGAAGTTAAGGCGCGCTTAACGCGATATTCGAAGTTTAATAATAATAAAATTCGAAATAAACTTATAAATAAAGTCTATATAGAAGACTATCGAATTATATTTAAATAGCGTTTATAATAAAATTAATAAATTAATATATATAATCTAATTATAAAGAATAATTTATTAAATAAATAGATATTTAGAAAGAAATAGTAACTATCGAAGAACGTTTAATTACGACTTATATTTTATTCTAATAAACTCTTATTAATATTATCTATAAATAATATTCGCTATTTACTTTATTAATTAATATATAGTAGAATAAGATAGAGCTAAGCTTAAAAATCTTGAATTTGTCTATACAGTCAATCATAAATTTAGGGCCCCTTCTGCAATCACATATTTTGGAAATAACCCCTAGATATTTCCACTAATTTTCAGCTTAGCGTCAAATATATACAGGGTATCGTTCTGTAATCATATTTCCACATATTTCCGCTTATTAAGCGAAAACAGGCTTGAAAATATCTGAAAACAACCCTCGAGGGTTGTTTTCAGCCAAAATAAGGCTAAGAACGCCAAGAATAGTGGACATCTATGACCGATATATATATATTATTCTCTTTTTCTTATCCATGCTTCAGATTTGAAGCCGGTGTCTACTCTCTTGCTAAGACGATATTGTTGTACCATTTCGAAATGTTACCTTCATAGTCTGGCTCCAAATCATAGGCAATGAGACACCGGTACCGGTAGACATGGAGTAGGCTTATTTGGGGTAATAATGGGAGTAATAGGAGTATCAATGATAGCCAGAGCCTGTGCAGTAGTAGCAGCAGGTATCTCGGCTATGGCGATATGGAATGGTAGGAATTCAATGGTTTTTTACGGAGAAGACAATTTTTGCGACGATTCTGACTCAGCCTCAGAAACAGGGTTACAGAACGGAACCGTACACATATTCTACTTGTTTTGGAAATATCCTAAGCGTTATTTTCAAGCCTTGTTCTTACTAGCCAAGTGGTGGCGTTATTTAGTGAAAATATGTAGGGGTTATTTCCAAAATATGTGGTTGCAGAAGGGGCCCTCAGGGTTACTACGCTCTTTGATTAAACCGGCTAAGTCACAGCGGGTAAATAAATTAGCGTCCGCAACTATCAAAATCTCGCCCTCCCGCGCCTCCCTCTATTAAATTATAGGTGTACGTTATTTACAATAGTAATAACTTTTTTATTTTCTATCGAAATTTTGAATTTTCTTTTTTGAAATTTTGAAGCGCTATCTGCGCTTTCCGAATTTTTAAGAATTTTAAGAATTTGTCTTATAATCATTAAAGGGCAAGGAATTCAAATATCGCACACCAAAGTTCACTCACCAAAGTTCGCTTATTAAAGATCGCTTACCTACTTACTCGATAGCTCTAATTAAAAAAATAATTGCCTTTACTCGTATAAATATATTAATCTAAAAGAAAATATAAGTATTAGAGAAGAAGATTATAAGTACTATAAAGAGAATACTATAATTTCTATAAACGATAATTATATTAATTAATTAATCGAAGTTATTAATAGCTAAATAATAATAATTAAAATTAAAATAATCTTAGCTAATACTTATATCTACGCCTTTTATAAGCTTTAAAAACTTTAAGTATTTAATATTAAATCTCTTTTTTTTAAATAAAGATTTCTTTAATTCTTTAATATTAGAAGAATTCTTATTTATATCTTTCTTATTTTTACTATCTTTCGATAATATTAAGACTCTTATATAAAAGCTAATAAACGATTAAATTAAGAAGCTAAAGACGATTAAGCTTAAGCTCGCAACTTTTAGATTAAGAATAAGTTATTAATTAAAAAATTCGAGAAGCGAAAGGTCGGCGAGTTTACTTCGAATCTTAATCTCGATTTTTAATCTATTAAGAAAACTCGCCGAAATATAAGATAAAATAAAAAGAGAGTTATTATAAATAACTAAGGCGATAAGATAATTAAGAGTTATAATAAAAATAGTAAGAGAAGTAATTAAAGTTAAAGACTTAGAATTATATTACTTTTTTCTTCTTTTTTTTTCGAAGTATATACGTTTAATATAGATAAGGAAATTATATTATTTATAAATAATATTTATTTATTAGCTATTAATTACCTTTATTTAAATAATTTAAATATTAAAATATCTATAATAAAGCATCTTTAGAATATATAGTAATTAGCGAATATCTTATAAGCGATTCTTTTTAGTAGAAATTATACTACGCCTTCGACTTTATTAATATAATTTTTATAATCTAGATTAAGATTAACGTAATAAATATCTCTATAATATAAGAATAATCTTTAATTAATTCTTAGATAAATCTTTCGATAGATCTATTAGCTACTTTAATACTATATTATTCTTAATTAATCTTTATTCTTTTCTTTTTATAATAGCTTATCTTTTTATTAATATATAATTACTCTAATAATTACTAATTTAATTTATAACGTATTCGCTAATTCTATCTATAACTTATTCTTATATTATATAAATCGTAATTATTCTACTTAACTCTAATATCTTATATCTCTTATCTAGTAATAAAGCGTTATATATATATAACTATTATCTTTCTTATCTACGCTTTAGACTTTTAAAAGAAATCTATTAAGAGTTTAATAATAGAATTAAATTAATTAACGCTAACGGCTAAGTATAAAAGATCTAAAACGCTCGCCTACGATTAATAAGTAAGAAGTTTCTTACGATAAACTATTAGAGGTAGATAAAGTAGATTATTAATAAAGAGCTTAATAATAGAGTTAATTTAGTTATCGCTAACGATTAAATATAAGAGATCTATTATTAACGCTAACGCTAATAATTAAGTATAAGAAATCTAAAATACTTATCTAAAGATATATAAAGTAGATTATTAATAAAAAGTTTAATAATAGAATTAAGTTAGTCGACGTTAACGATTAAATATAAGAGATCTATCGCTAATAATTAAATAT